GCTTTGTTGTACCGAGCTTTTTTCATTTTTCTATCTGACTGTAAGCAGCCAACGGACACTTTGTGAGTGACTTAACCATTTAGCTATTGTATCCTTCTGATAGATACATTTTTTTGCTATATTCACCAACTCAGTTAACTCTTTGACAGATACTATTTATTTGTTCTCCTTCTTTTTATACATTATACTAAGTAAGCTCCTGGATTTATGATTACTATCTTGTATAGTAGCCAGCCTTTTTTCTATACTCTCTTATAGGTTTTTGGTGGATTCCTATATCTTTCCAGTTTTAGAGCTTCTGTCTGATAGGCTGACTCCCTCTTTTCTGTTTTCTAATTTATTTTAGTTAGCAGTTTGTGTTTCCTAAACATCAATTATAGATTGAATAGCAGTTAGTTGTCTCAAAGCGGGTGTGTCAGGCTCACAGTGGATACTGTGCCCAGTGCCACCACTCACTCACTGGTGTCACAATAGCTTGGATTTTAAAAAAAAAAAACTCTTTTTTCACTGTTATAGATTGAATAGCAGTTAGTTATCTTCAAGCAGGTGTGTCAGCCCTACAGCGTGTACTCTGCCAGTACGCTGCCACCTCCTCTACTCCTCCTACTCCATCCTCTTCCATAACCTCCTCGGCTGAGTCCTCTTCTGCTGCTGCGTCTTGCTCCACATCAACGGATAGGGGATGTAACAGTGATTAAACTGATAAAAATAGTACTAAACACACCACTCCTATCTGGTGTCACATTAGCTTGACCGCGCAGTGCCCAAATTTGCAGTAAGAGGACCGACCAAGCCTCTTCTTCCATCTCCCTGTTACAAAAATCAATGCCGTGTACACGTCCACTGATAGGAGACGCGGAAGGTATTAAACTGATAAAAATAGTACTAAACACACCACTCCTATCTGGTGGTACATTAGATTGCACGCGCAGTGCCCCAAATTTGTTGTGATCTGTGAGTAAGGTAAATGGTTGTCCATACAAGTAGGTTGCAGCTTTTTGAGGGCCCACAACACCGCCATGCACTCCTTTTCAATGGCAGTGAATCTACTTCGCTATGCAAAAGTTTACGGCTTAGATAAAAATCAATGCCGTGTACAAGTCCACTGATAGGAGACGCGGAAGGTATTAAACTGATAAAAATAGTACTAAACAAACCACTCCTATCTGGTGTCACATTAGCTTGACCGCGCAGTGCCCCAAATTTGCAGTAAGAGGACCGACCAAGCCTCTTCCTCCATCTCCCTGTTACAAAAATCAAAGCCATGTACACGTCCACTGATAGGAGACGCGGAAGGTATTAAACTGATAAAAATGGTACTAAACACACCACTCCTATCTGGTGTCACATTAGCTTGACCGCGCAGTGCCCCAAATTTGCAGTAAGAGGACCGACCAAGCCTCTTCTTCCATCTCCCTATTACAAAAATCAATGCCGTGTACACGTCCACTGATAGGAGACGCGGAAGGTATTAAACTGAACAGTCTCTATTCTGCTCTTGCATTTCTATTTCTTCATAGAAAACGAAAAAATTCTGAGAAGACGTTGGCAGGGCTATTCACTTGTGTGATCTGTCATGAATTGTCATTTGAATGTTATTTTGAACTGTGGGGCACAAGAACTTGAATCTGACGAAATGGCTGCCATATACACGTCCACTGATAGGAGACGCGGAAGGTATTAACCTGATCAGAACAATACTAAACACACCACTCCTTTTTTTTGGTGAGGCTTTACAGGACAGAGTGCTTCTCCACGGGACATGTTAACTCACGGGCAGCTGGCTCATCAAGGAACCAGAGCAGCTTTCCATGTACAGGTAAGACCATTTGGTGGTAGGTTCGATATTTCTTCCTGGAGGATAAACACAAGCCTATTGAGCGGTGACCTTGCTCGGGTCCCAGGTGTCCGGTTCCTAAAATGGCTGCCATATACACGTCCACTGATAGGAGACGCGAAAGGTATTAAACTGATCAGAACAATACAAAACACACCACAAATAAAGTTTCTCTCCTGTATGGCTCCTCAAATGATGCTTAAGATTAGAAGCGGCTGAAAAGCATTTCTCACACTCAGAACAAAAATATATTTTTTTAACATTCTCTCCACTTTGAACGAAATGACGTTTGGGAAGAGATTAACATAATTAAACACAGGCAGTAAAAATGCAGTTTTTAGCCATACCCTGTAACTTTAAAACTACACATCCCATCTTCATAATTACATATTTGGTATCAGCACACTTAAAACATAAACATAACCAAAAATCAGCCAAATCCATCCAGGGGTTAAAAAGTTAGCTGGAGGTCCCTTTATGACCGACCGCAAGCACATTTTCCTGCCCAAACAGTTCCATAGATTTGGGCTGTGAGGTCGGTCTATTTCAGGCTGAAAAAACGACTAAGTCCCATCGCGAATGGGACAGTCTCTGCAGCTGAAATAAGGCTGAAAAAAACGGCTGAAAAAAAGACTAAGTCCCATCGCCGAATGGGACTTAGTCTCTGCAGCTGAAATAAGGCTGAAAAAAACGGCTGAAGAAAAGACTAAGTCCCATCGCCGAATGGGACTTAGTCTCTGCAGCTGAAATAAGGCTGAAAAAGCGGCTAGAAAAGACTAAGTCCATGGCGAATGGGACTTAGTCTCTCACAGCTAAAGGCAAGTAGGGGAGAAGGTAGGCTCAAGGTGTTGTGAGGAAATGTGTAGCCGATTTTAGTTCTATGAATTTGGCTACACATACCGCTGACCTCGTCGAATGATCAAAGATGGCCGCCGCCACGTGTTCGGCAAACGAACAAAGACCTCCCAGCATTGTCAATTAAGCTGCGGTTAACCGCAGCTTCTGGGAGGTAAATTGCCTGCACACTTCCGCTTCTGGGTGGTCTGCCTGTGTGGTACTTGGTTCAGTAAGCCCCATTTACTGAACCAAGTGGGAATTAGCCAGGCAGGCACAAAGGGTTTGCACCAGGTCTGGGGACACAGGGGACACCGTCTTAAAGGGGCAGTGTCCCCAACAAGTCTGGGGACACGGCCTTAAAGGGGGCAGTGTCCCAATCTTCCTGATGTCCCAAAAAAGGTGTTTAAAGGGCCAGCACCAGTCATATAAAGAGTCCATAAGCCCCAATATGCCCACCGACAGTCTTAAAGGGCCATACACACCAAATAAAAGTGCATACATTTTCACAATCTCCCAGGGGCCATAGTCATGCGGGAGGAGGCTGGCAAATAGGCTTCTCCACAACCCAGGGAAGCAGGCAATTTGCCATTTAAAGGGCCCGTTACAAATAGCAGTTTGTAACAAGGTGTCAATCCATATCTGCCAAGTGACCCGATGTAGGGGGCAGTCCTAGAAAATTCTGCTCTGTGTCAGTGTGTATCATGGTCTCTGAGGACAGGTGTCAATCCATATCTGCCGGTAACCCTATGTAGGGAGGTAGCAGTCTCTATTCTGCTCTGTGTTGAGTGTGTATCATGGTCTCTGAGGGACAGGTGTCAATCCATATCTGCCAAGTGACCCGATGTTGGGGTAACATCCCCTATTCTGCTCTGTGTCAGTGTGTATCAGGGATCCTTAGGACAGGTGTCAATCCATATCTGCCAAGTGACCTGATGTTGGGGTAACATTCCCTATTCTGCTCTGTGTCAGTGTGTATCAGGATCCTTAGGACAGGTGTCAATCCATATCTGCCAAGTGACCCGATGTTGGGGTAACATTCCCTATTCTGCTCTGTGTCAGTGTGTATCAGGGATCCTTAGGACAGGTGTCAATCCATATGTCAAGGTGTCAACATGTCATATGTCAGGTGTCAATCCATATTGATTGTGATTTAGGGATGTTAGGTGATTTCTGCCCTTTATGGATTAAAACCAGACTCTGTATCAACTGTGTAATTTTCCATGGGAGTTTTGCCATGGATCCCCCTCCGGCATGCCACAGTCCAGGTGTTAGTCCCCTTGAAACAACTTTTCCATCCCTATTGTGGCCAGAAAGAGTCCCTGTGTGTTTTAAAATTCGCCTCCCATTGAAGTCAATGGCGTTTCGGGCGGTTCGCCGGTTCGCGAACATTTGCGGAAGTTCGCGTTCGCCGTTCGCGAACCGAAAATTTCGGGTTCGCGACATCACTATTCCTGAAATAGAGAATATTTCATGGGCTCAAATGTTTTAAATGGTGTATATTTGTGAAATTGATTTCACAAAGAAATGACTGGTAAAGCCATACTTGACTGTCTATAAATTTCAACGGTTGATTTCCACATAAACTGTACTGGGGTTTTTCATGAAACCAGAGATTGTGGAGAACTAACAAGCGAATTGCAGACAAAAAAAAAACACACCAAAGCTCAGAAGTCCAACTAACTTTGTCATTTATTTTGCTTACAATTTGCAATTCTCCTCAATGTCTATTTTAGTCAATTGAACTCTTCCTGTAGAGGTGCAGCAATAAACATGAAAAAAGAAACAAAAAACACGAAACAAGGATGCAAGAACATACATCACTGGTATGTTAACAGAAATGTATAGATTGTGATAAAGTGTAGCAATAACAATATACAATACACCTCTCAATGTTATGAAGCACTTGACTGATTCATCTATCTGGATGATGTGTAAAGTAATAAAAATCATAAGCCTATTTATCAATGATATCTGACCCTTTTGTAGTCCACGCGTT